GTTCTTGAGAAACTTCGAATAAAGGCCATTTAGTTATCTCTGGAATGATGTAAAAACGAGCGTTCTTGCACATTTTGCTTCCGAGAAACATGCAAGACGGGACGGAAAACATGAACTTTTGCAATAATCTTGCGCCACCCTTGCACAAAACGACGATCATTTTTCTAATTTCATAGATAACAGAAGACTGTATTTTTTCCACATAACCCCCCCCCCTGACTTTAAAGCTGGATCCGCCCCTGGCCTAAATAGCAAATTTGACTAACCCGGGGAGCTAATGAAGCAGCCCAACAGTAGAAATGACTACAAGTATTGGAATTTTTCAGCAAGATGGATCATTATGCGCTCAACACTGCCTCAATTCTCTCTTACAAGGACCCTATTTTACAGCGGTTGAACTAGGAACGTTGGCGAATCGGCTCGATGAAGAGGAAAGAGAACAGATGGCTGAAGGCGGAATGGACACGGAAGATTACCGGCAATTCCTGCAACAACCGTCAACCAACATGGATGATAGTGGATACTTTTCGGTTCAAGTCATTACCAGTGCGTTGCAAGTGTGGGGTCTTGAGTTAGTGCCTTATTGCAGTACAGACGAACGGGCCAAAGCGGCCCTGGAGAATCCCGCTCAAATGCAAGCCTTCATTTGCAACTACAAAGACCACTGGTGTACCATCAGGAAAATTGGAAATCAGTGGTTTAATTTGAATTCATTACTTGCCAAGCCGCAACTGATTTCCAACACTTACCTGGCACTATTTTTGGCGCAATTGAGAAACGAAGGGTAAGTTAGCAGTTGAAGCTTCTTCAGCGGTACCGAAACCAATGACTATTGCAGGTATTCCATATTTATAGTATCTGGAGAATTGCCCGAATGCGCAGCAGACGATATTCTTAGGAACAATCCTGTTAAATCCTGCTCTAGTCCCAGATCGCATGTGTTTCAAACTCAGTCTTCCTCCAGCGAAACTGATCCAGACGTTCAAGCGGCCTTGAGGCTTAGTTTACAAGACAGTGGCCAATATGATAGTCCAGATGTGGAAGAAATGTCTTAAATTACTATTTTCTGGTTGGTTTTATCTATATGAATCATTTCAGAGCGCTTCAAGAGGCTTTAAGGATGAGCATGCAGGCCTCCAGTAGTTCTCCCGAAGAAGACGACGATGAAGACTCACTTCTGAAAAAGGCAATCACGATGAGCCTGCAATGTTAGTACCCATTTGATTTCAATCAATACTAATTTAGATGTAGATGTAAAAAGGCACTTGCCAGCCTAAAATAAGCCCAGAGGTTGAATGAAGCGAAAGAAAAACCCTCTTCATTATTTGGAAAGTCGTCGAGTTGTTTTCTCAGGGATGGTGATCGACTACTGAATTGAAATAATTTTTTCCTTCAAGCAATGCCAGTTATGCAAGTTTACAAGGGCCTTTTTGCGTTGAGATGTATATTTTAACGGCTGATTTGAACGCACAATTCTTCTCTTCACTAACATTAAATACATGTGCGTTTTATCTTGTTGATTGAATGATAATGGAAATATTATTGAAGCATCTGAAATTATATTTCAGTTCTTTCAAAAAGTTATACTTCGGTACTTTTTCGTATTAACTCGTACTTAATGACTTGATTTTTATCACAAATTTATCTTTTTTCGTAGAAAATGTTATAAATATGTTATGAATAAATATGATGCAAAATTAATAACGGTTTTTGAGACCCTCGTCCCGAATTTTCTCATTTTGAATGGAAACATTGTTTTATATGAAAATGTGCGCATTTTAACGCTTTATCTCGCAATAGAAACTGGAACTTTGTAGCTCGATGAGTTCCTAAAATTTTAGCCAGAGGCTAAGAGCGGCCTGCAAGACCCGCATTAACTTCGCATTTTGCGTGAAAACTAGAACGATTTATAAGTTGGTGTTTTTTAGAAAAAAGTGCACATTTCACCGCTCAATCTCCCACTGAAAACTACAGCTTCGTAGCTCAATCGGTTCTCTAATTATTAGCGAAAAATTAACCGCAGCACTCAACATCCGCTTGACCTTGTGAATTTTCCGCAAAAACTAAAAAATCAATCAGCAACACTGTCCCAGTCATAAGACAGAAAGAAGCGGCAGAACAGAATCCTTGCGACGTTGCCATGCCACGCTATGTCAAATTTGAATTTGGATCCTCAAATTCTCCATACACCGTTTCTTTGTCATGCTATACAGGGTGTTATTTAAAATGCTCATGAGGTGATTCTGTTTTTATGAGTTACTAGAATGGCAGTATGTATGACAAGGAATGTATCACAAAATTACTGCTGCATGTTATTGTTATTTTGTGTGTATAATACATATAAAATTATTTTGTAGTTGTTATTTATTGTTTTCAAAAGTGTTCAAAAACCTGGTATTATTTACTGATTGATCATACAAGTTCATCATATGAGCTGAAAGAAAAATGCCGTGGACATACACTTATCTACGGTTTAATCTTAAAACTTGTTATGCGTTATTTGAACTGCGATTATAGCTTTTCGCAATACATTTCTTCTTATATAGTATATATGTTCTGAGATTAGTAATAGAGGGCTTATCCGAGTAAGTTTTAGACAATTCTTTTTATTGCTTAGAACTGGTTTTAGCAATAGTCAAATGGGGAGACTTCAATCTTCAATCGTTTTTCTAAAGTGAAGTTATATAGTGAGGACTAAGATTAAGTGAGAGCGTTTTCCGGCTTTGCCTTTTTTCTGCGTGGCAGTTGTTATTTTTCTCTAAAGGGCAA